CGAGCGGCCAAGGGCCGAGGGTCTTTTCACCACAGTAAAGCAAGAAAAGAAAAGTTTACAGTTTCAGCTCTTATATATTTATGTTCATGACACGATATTATAAATGTTGTTTTATTCAGTACTGGTCTTTGCGGAGCATAGTGGTTTGCTCACGCCCCCATTGTGTTTTTCAGGAGACGGAGTCGAGCGTGCCGGATGAGCACAGACGTGGCAAAGCGTGGTCATGAGAGTCATGGACATTTTTACGTACATTTTATGTCCTAGTATTTATGATCATGTATTTTCGGATATGTATGCATGTATTTCTGTATTTCGGACGCTTCCGCTAGCAGACTAGACAGTGCGAGACGGTTCAGACATTGCATGTTTAATTCCATTATCCGTAGCGGATAGTTTGGTTGCGTGTTATATATGTCTGTGAGCAAGTTAAGTAAGCTTTTATCTGTTACATCCCGCAATCAGTAGTATTTTCGAAAACCAAGCTCGCACGACCTTTCGAAAATAAAAACAAAAAAAAAAAAAAAATTTACTCTGATTTTTCAAAGATAGTAAGGCGGGGCGTGACATCCGGCACATCTTCCTCCGTCCATCCTCTCCTTTCTCAACCAAATTCGTCGATTTTATCCCTCCGCCCACCCTCCCGTACTTGCGCATCCCCTCCGGCAGAATTCCGTGCGCGAATTCATGTGTAGCATTGAAACGTATAATTATCACGGAGTGCGCTAATTGTAGTGCAAACTGAAATAAGAATTTTAGAATGCGGAAGCTATAAACCGAAGATTTATAAACTCTTCAGGGAAGCATCCCACTTCCGCTCAAAGCTCTTTCATTGATAGATCGAACACGAACATAGTTTGGACGTACAAAGACTCAAACTCCCTTTAAGCCTAGCCAACACTACTCACGATCCTATCAACTATTTCTCCGGCCACGTCCCGTGGACTTTTTATCCTACACTTACTCCCTAAGTGTAAAAGTAAAAGATAGTTTTAATGAATCAAAGAAACTGAGCAAGAAACAGCTTCAGTCCTTGAGTTTGTAAGAACTCTCGTACTGAACTGTGTACAACTGAAAGGAATAGAAAATATGAAGCTCAAATATTGCTCTAACAATTTCTCTAACTTCAGCAGTCGCAATAGGAGCTTCCTCTAGGATATTTATATGAACTCCTTAGGGTTGGAGTCTTCTACAAGGCATAGGACTCCAAGCTTG